CCACAGGGAAAGGAATTCTTTTCTTCTTACAAGAATAAATAAGTAACAACAAGGGGGGTTTATATTTGGTTGAAGAACTTTAAATTATATTTAAACACGAAGATGAACGAGTTATGTGATTTAATTAATGAGAAGAAGACTTGGCTTTGCTTTTATCCACTTAATGAAATGTTCGCCGATCCCGGTTATATCTTTAACTATCTTCCTCTCGAATACTCAATCGAGGAGTATATCCAATTCATCGAGGGTAGTTATTAATAACGAGACGCGTTCATTAATAAAACTTACTATCGAGTCAATATAGAACAAGCGCCGTATATTTACTCGATAGTAGCAATAAAATCAAGATGAAAACGATTGAGATTGATAACCTCAACACAAGCGGTTTATTGGTTTAATCAATATAATTGATTCCCTCTTGGTTTATTAACCATGAAACGCATGCATTAATAACCCAAGTTTACTACCGCGAAAGGACCGAATCAATAACAAGCGTATTAATCGACCGATTCTAGTAATAATTAATATATGAAACAAAACTAGTTGATCCTTTAAGTAATATTCAAAATATTAATACAAAATATGAATAGGAATTAATTAATACTCAAGGAAGAATATTAAAGAAGATGAATCCTACTATAGTTAATATCAAGATGTTAACTAATTGTCATCTTAGTAACACTCCCCGATATTAACGTAGAGGAAGAAATAACTATTACTATAACTAATGTCAAGATGTTAACTAATTGTCATCTTAGTAACACTCCCCAACATTGATATAGAAATAGTATTTAAAGAAAGAATTAATATTCAAGGAAGAAGATTAAAGAGAATAACTCACAACTTACAAATTCATTAAGCTTCAAAGTAGCAAAACCAAGATGGAAGAGTTTAGCTCCTCATTTGGAGACTAAACATGATAAAAACATAAAGAAAGAACTTGTCTAAACTGAGCTTAGAAGTATATAGGAATTGGTTACTTTTCTTGTGGAGGAAATGGGGTGTATTTATAGGCTTTTTAGGCCTGCAGGGTCGTGTACCCGATCGGGTTTTCAGCTCAACCGATCGGGTAAGGGTTAGTTTCCTCGAAACTGAAAATCTGGGGTTATACCCGATCGGGTATGTCGGCTACCCGATCGGGTATGGATACGCGATCGAGTTAAAAATCTTCCTGCATGATGCCTTGTTCCCGAGTTGATTTGATTTGACTTTTTAGCAACTTACCCGATCGAGTATAGGGTATACTCGACCGGGTACAACACCAAAAATCAGGATCTTCATTTTGTTTTGGAATTTTTGCACCTTCCTTCCACTTGTGATGTTCACCAATGGTCCCTAGAGTGGTCTTGGACCTGTTTGAGCTCAGAACAAATCTAATCTAAACAATTTACAAACATTTTACAAACTAAACTATTACACCAAAAGTGTGTAATTTCTAGAGTAATAATCACTCAAAACTAATCAAAAGCACAAATATAAACATGAAAATAACATGAATATCAAATACTCACTTTCTTAATTTGTGTGTCATTTATACTATAGAAGAACTTTTAGGGACGCAGGGAATACTTTTTGTTGTTGTTGCTGCTATCATATTAGCATCATCCTCATCATTACCACTCTTACAACTACTATTCCTTGATAAAATTGCAGCTGTGTCTATCTCAAATTCTGACCACTGTTATAATTTAAACTTCTGTTAACAATTAATTGTAATTGTAATTAAACCCAAATATACCATATATAATTAATTGTAATTAAACCCAAATATACCATATATAATTATTAGTACTACAATAGTACTACATAATTTTCATCTTGTTAAGTTTCTGTTAACAATTAATTGTAATTAAACCCAAATATACCATATATAATTATTAGTACTACAATAGTACTACATTATTATTCTTGATGTTACTTTGTTACGTTATTACTACTATTATAATTATATACTCCGTATATACTCCCTCCGTCCCAGTGTACTTTGCCGACTTTCCCTTTTTGGTTGTCCCAAAAAAATTTGTCACTTTCCTATTAAAACAACTGATTTGTGATTATGCGCATTTCTCTCTCCTCTGCACAAATCTCAACCACACAGTTTTTACTATTCTTATTTCTCACCTACTTTTCACTTGACAAAGTCCACCGGGACGGAAGTAGTATTAGCTTGGGTAATGAGTGATTTTTGTGGCAGATGGAGTACCTGGACTTCCTCGCTAGAGAAGCTGGAGTGCCACCAGTTGATGGGGAGTTGGAAGAGAATTTTCACAACCTTTTTAAGTTTGCATATAAATTTGGACTAAGGGAGTGTTTGTAATTGCTTCAACTTTAAAAAAGTGATTTTTTAAAGTGATTTTGGGAAAAGTGATTAATAGTAAAAGTTGGTAGTGTTTGAGAAAAAAGTGATTCTGAAAAAGTAAAAGTTGGTAGTGTTTGGTAAAATAAGTAATTTTTGTGTAATAGAAAACGTGAAAAGCAGTTTAAAGCACCCTTCCACCTGCTTCCAGCTTTTAGCTTTTAAGTGATTAATTTAAGCAGAAGCTGTCATTTGAAAACACTCTTTTTAACTTTTTTAAAGCCAAAAGCTGAAAAACACTTTTTTAAGCAACCGCAAACACTGCTTAAATGCAGCAGCAAAAGATCTCTGGGATGTGAGTTGGAGACCAGAAGTATAGCACCATCTCTATATTATTATTATTATTTGGACATTAATTGTGCTCAAAGACTTGCATTCATAAACTATTGTGTACTTCGTACGTAGTATAATATTACTTCGATAACAAATACTCCGTAATTTAATAAAAACAATGCTAAAGGTTTTGATCGGACATTGATGTAAGAAAATAAAGTTTGGTGTTTTAGAAAATTGCTGTCTTGATTTCTAGGATGTGTCAAATGAGACGACAATGCAAAATCTTACCCCAAAAATTTCTCCTAGTATTTGGATTGCTGCCACCAATATGTATGATATATATTTTGAAATAAGATTTTGGCTAAAGGCTCAAATAGGTATATGAACTAACTTAAATGTTCAATTAGCCCCTTATATAATAGGTTTTGCCCGGCCGTTGCCAATTGAGGTGGTTCCCGGTGGAATTTGTTTATGAACTTTTTTGAGCATATTCTTCATTAAGTCTAGTTTACTCATACCAAATTTGAGCTAAAAATTGAACCGAGAAGGCACTCAAATGATTTTTTGAAGATAACTGCGCAGTTAAACAACGCAGTACATTTCGGAAAATCATTTGGCTGCCTTCCCGATTTATTTTTTAGCTGAAATTTGATATGGGTAAACTAGACTTAATGAAGAAGATACTCAAAAAATTTCATCAAAAAATTCAACCAGGAACAGCCCCAATTGGCGACGGATGGGCAGAACCTCCTATATAAAGGGCTAATTGAACACTTTAAGTTAGTTCATGTACCTATTTGACTCATTAGCCTAACATTTTTCATCTAATGTCAGAAGTGGCTTCTGTAAAAGATGTTCAGTATATCGCTTTTGATTTGCTTCCTCTTCAACTCGACAATGCTCTATTTTCCCAAAATCAATGATTGTGTAGGTTTGCTACCCGATTGGTATGTCCCACAAGATCACAGCTTTGACTGATTGGTGTAAACTATTACTCCGTATTATTATTATTATTATTATTATTATTATTATTATTATTATTATTGCTTTACTATTATATTAATCATGCTAGGGGTACACAAATTGTACACAATTTGTACACAAAATGTCGGTTATAGACAATTGATACGAAATTATCTGTGTACACATGCAACTTTTGTCTGTATCCACAAACATTTACTTTTTTGTAAAAAAATACACTGACAGCCGCCTGACACTGACACTAGCTTGCAATTCAATCAATATATGTGCAGTGCCTATGTGAACAACCAATATTTTCATGTTACACAGACAATTATTTGTCTGTGCGCACAGACAATATTTACCTCACAGACAATAGTTGTGCGTTCTACAGACAATAGTTGTCTGTGTGATCAACTTTAATTGTCGGTGAGATCAATTTCAATTGTCTGGGTGAACTAAAAATTTAATTATCAATATATATCCAAATGAATGATGTAGTTGTATGTGTGATCAATTTATATTTAATTTGAAAAAAATTGAAAAAGAATAAAACTAGATGAAATAAGATGAATAAGTTGATTTTGTGCATATAATGAAAAAACAATTGATATAAAAATGTAGAGAAAAAGAGGATGAAGAAGGGAAGATAAAGATGATCTCATTTTTTTGTGAGATATTCGAATGGGGTAGCCGGTTAGGTAAAGAAGAAAGAGAGAAGGGGGAGGGGGAACAGAGAGTGGAGAGAGAGGGAAAGAAGGAAATGAATTCTTTTTTGGACCTTTTATATGGTGTACATTTTGTGTACACCATGTGCACCTTTAGCATTTTCCTTATATTAATTGGACGAAGGAAGTAGTATATTTTGACTAAATGATTGTTGGAGTATTATTATGTTTGAAACCAAAACAAAAACAAAACCAGGTTGTTTTAGCTCCAAAACTACACTCAATTTAAAAATTTGCCCCAACTTGTGATATGGAGCTGCCTACTTTGAGCCGTTTGAGGACAATATACACAGTTCACAATAATTGGGCAATGTACGATACGATATTATCAATTTATTAGGATGTTGGTTTGAGTTTGGTTTGTGTAAAAACGTACACAATTATTATTATGTAACGTTACATTAGGTTACATAATAACATTGCTCTCGCATGATCAGGAGACTACTTGTTTTACACAAATTAATCTCAAGATTTAAGCAAAATACTACGGAGTACGTAATACTTAGGCAGTTACTTTTCTTCCATTGTTTTACTTTTTATCTTCAAACAAGCTAATCATTAGTCGTGATGTCGCAGGTTAAATGCCGCCACAAGTTCGAGGAAACAACTGAACGAAGCACATAATAAGATCCCGAACACAAACGGAAGACATTGGTGTTGGCAATCCATTTAGTTACTAGCTCATTATGTGCTATCAGTACCTTTTTATGTTTAAAGAAAGAGAGGCATCACGTTTAGTAGATACAGAAATAATCTTTCATCTGAACCTGAAGCCGCAAATATATCGTTTGAACATCTTTGGTGAAATCATGCACTACAGGTTTCCAAGAATTTAGCTATCCTAGTCCAAGCAGAAAGCTAGTTTGATATTTTTTTACACTAACAAGACAAAAAAGAATGATGGGATGAACTAAAAGGTGTTTGTTCTTGCTGGGGGTGCAACCTAACTCTTACTGATGAAGTACCCTACCAGAATTCCAATTACCCCAACCAGCAGAACACATAATACTGAGAAGCCACCGGTTTTTCTTTTGTTTGCTTCTTTTTTCAACACCTCCTGCAAGAAAAATGGAAATATCTTAATCCACAACCCAATGTCTGAGCCCCACCCATGCGCATAAAAAAACTTGTTTGATTAAACACTTCTTTCTTTATTATAATTTTGGTAAGATGCAAATGTTATAAGTTGTTAGTTGTTACACATGCTTATAGTATAATTAATGTTTCACTTCACTTTCTGGTTATACTAACAAATCATATTTAACTTATTTGTGACTTTTTCCGGAAAACTAATTCAACAAATAACTTTGTTAAAATATGATCATGTTTGGTATAAGAACATACTTCTTGACTTCCTCCTCCTTGAATACTAAGTCATATTTGGTCTAAGTACAACAATTTAATTCTGAAGGGGCACAACAGGTTAAATTTCATTAATTTAATACTGATGGAGTATTTTACAAAACTATTTGTGGATCTAATTCAATTTGTCATGTTTTACTTCTAGTAATGTTTTTTGAGAAACTACACGAAAAACTTTTGATAGAAGACATTTTCAGGACAGAGAGCATCTACAGATTATAGGACAACAAAGACCAAAAACGACATTTAGGAGCAATACCAGTTCGAGATGGAATTTCTGATTCTGTTGAATAGTAGAGCTTTTCTCTTCTGTCAACCTTGAAATCAATGACCAAGCCTGCACATCAAAGAGTTCTACATGGTTAGCCCACATTAAAGTAAACAGAAGTTGTTTCTCTAAAAGTTATGCAACAATGCTTGCACAGAAAAATAAAAGAGTTCCTATTACAAAAAACATAAGTCTATCATAACAATGTTTAGATAGAGTATATCCAAGAAACAAATCAAAGACTGATCCATATGTCAGTCCACACTTTTCAGTGAGTAAAGTGGCTGGATAAGATTTTTTGTTAAAATAATAATTTATGAAAGACTAGAGGTAATGTGCTCTTGTTAAAAGCTTGTAATGTAAAATGTCTAGAAGCCTGGAATGTAAAATATCTTGTAAGAAAAAGAGGGCAACTAAGGAACTCCTAGATGTGCACCAAATAAATATTCTTGTCAACCATAAACAAATACTATGAAAATATCGTTTATCTAAATCATACGAAGAACAGATGCAGCTAGGGGAAATATTATTCACCTCTGAAGATGCTAACTTTTCGTTGGGCTCCTCGCTCTCCTCCATAGATCTTGATGCCTAATATTAAGTACAATGATAAAAATAACATGCAGGTATGAAATAAAAAAATGAAAATTAGGAGGTCTTAACAACAAAATTTAGATTAAGTTGCATAAGTAGGTATGTGTGTATATTCCACTTACAGCTTGTGTCACTGGAGAAGGCTTAGTTTCACTCTCATTCAAATCCCTTGGAGGAGAACCCTCCTCTGATTCTTCCGGTACTGGTGAGGGAGGATTGGCAGGAACGTAAACAACCCTCAATTTAAATTCATTCATCTCTCTCCAAGTGCCCGCCTTAAACTGAAACAAGAAACAGAGGAAACGAGTCCTTAAACTATCACGGAAAAAACTAAGAGCATTGTTTCATTTTGGTGATTAAGAAAGCCCACCAATTCAGCTGACAAATCCTTAGTTGTGGCGCCATCTGGTGCAATAGTGCTCTGTATCAAGAACTTATCCTTGCATTGCAAATCTGGTGGAGCCTCCTTCGGTGCTTGCATTGTCACTTTTGAATTTCATAAATAAAAACATCAAAACAATTAAACCTAAAGCATCATAAACTCAAATATTCCCTAGTCCAATTTTTAAAGTCAACTTGCAGTAAGCTACAACATTTTTGGTAATGTACAAGTTCAGTAAATTATCAATCCCGCGTGCATTTTAAAACTAGCTTTATTTAACTTCTATGGAACACTTCTGGAAAATGGCAATAAATTCAATGAAAATTAGCTTCTTTGTTTGGAAAATTGACTCTTACAATGGAAAAACATAAATTTTGGAACGAGACCTGTTTGTTTTTGGACAGGGTTACTCTAGAATACAGTAAAAATTGAAGAGTTTTACCAGTAACATTGCAAGTAGAGTTGGGCAAAACTACACCGGCATTGGGGCGAACACAATATTTCTTGGGGTTAGTGGTTTTAACCTGTTTCAATGACAAATCACTTAGCCATAAACTTGTTGTATAAAATTATTTAAAACAGGGAAATATAAAGCACCCTGAACATGGGCTGAGTTGAACCTAATAAAGAAGATATTACCTTGAAAGCAACATACTGATCAGTCTTGTTAGATAATTGCACAGAACATGAACTCTGCCTCCTCACCTCAACTTTTCCGCACAACCAAAATAGAAATCATAAATTGACAACATTTAATCGAACTGAATCGTGGATACGGAAAAGCGAAATCATGGAGACCCAGTTTTCTGTTTGGTTAAATTTAAAATCTTTGATGAAGAATTGGAAAAAAAGTAGAGTTCAAGAATTATTCGACTTACATGGGAACTTCAGTTCTGCGGGATATATATTCAGATAGTCCCCTATGCCCATTAGCTTACAGAGAGTGTAAGACTGGATCAAAAGTATATATGGCTCTGATGGGAAACTCTTGAAGTAAAGCGAGGAAGAAGAACTAGGGTTTCGGCTATGGAAGTGAAATACGGGGTAAATGAAAATCAAAATCGGAGGAGGCGGGGAGCCTGGGCTACACCATTTGAAGAAGTTATTCACGATGGCATATTGGTTTGGGTTTGGTTTTCTATTCCATTCGATTTGGAACGGATGGAAAAATGATTACAAAACGGGATATTTGGATCTGATTTTTAAAACTACTTCTGCTTTTTGAAGAGACAGAATCAGAAGTTGGAGTGTTTGAGTGAAAGTGTAGAAGTGATTCTGATGCTCTAGTTTACTCATAGAATCAGTTTTTTGGAAGCTGGGGGGACCGGCTTCTGAAAACTGATTCTGATTTTGCTTCTACTTAAAAAAAATAGAAGCAGAATTAGTTCCAAACACCCCCTAATTATACTCCTACTATCATACTCCGTATTATCTTTCGGTTTAATTTGATTCGATTTGATTTTTGATTTTTTGATAATATATGGATGTTTGATTGAATTTTTTAGTTTGGTGCGATTTTGTTCGGATTTTTTCGATTTTGATTCGATTAATAATGATTTAGAAGAAATATCAAACTCAAACCAATTACATATTATTCTATTTCGATACGATTTAGTTCAATTTGGTACATTTCATTTCAGTTAAACCAAACCATTGTATCAACCCCTAAAATAATTGACTGTGAAATTAGAGTACCACGGACTCTGTATTTCTTTAATTATTATGTAACTTAGGGTGAATTAGAAAGGACTTCTTTACAATTTTAAAGTAAATATGTTAGTCAAAATGAGCTACTAATTTTGACCAAAAAAATATTAACAACAGATTATAATATATACATAGAAACTCATATAAAAGTAATACTTTTACTGCGTATTAAATTTATCTCATAGAAACTCATATGAGATAAATAAAAAAAGAAATAAGTTGATCCACAAATTCATTAAGTGGTAAACTCTTTTTAGACAAATAAAAAAAGGTTAGCAGAGTGCAATGGGATGAGGGAGTACAATTTCTCTTTTGGTTCTTTCCCCCGCCTAGAGATCTTAATTGTCTATCTCTTTAACACAAGTGTGGTTCATTCTCTCAACCATCACATTCCCTCATTTTCGGCCAAAGTGTTTCACCATTTATTACATTCATTATTGTTCTTGACCAACCGCAAATCAGCCTCCACATGCAGGCTCAAAGCACAACCATGCCGGAATCGAAAAGTTTTGTCGGCGTATTTCCATATTCATAGAGGTGCCGCAATCCTTCAGTTCGATTCATCTTATTGATCTCCCTTTTGTTATTATTTTGTTTTTCTAATGATGTATGGGTTAATCAATTCTCATGTATAGTCAGATTGGATTCCTCTTATGAACCGATATTGATTCCTCTTGTTAATCTTTTTTCTGATATTAGATTATTTGTCCTATGCATGGGTTAATTGATTGCTTTTTATGAGTGTCACATCATTTAAGTTTACTTAGCTTGAAAGTGGTAGCCAGTGAAGGTGGTGAGTATGGCTTTAAATTTCATTTTTATTGATTTTGTACTTTTTGTCTTCTACTATTCTAAAGCTCCAATAGAGAAAAATAACATTATATTGAAAAAACAACTACAAATTTTGTTTGGTAAATGAATGGTTTGAACCCGAAAGGTTGAAATTTGAAACACATTGATGTTTACGGTTGCAGCTTGGGGATTGCTTCGTATGTGCTCTTTGTTTTTTCTCTTTCGTCAAGCCTCTACTGTATACAACAACGTAAAGGGGGTGTTAGTGTATCTGCGTTCCAACCCAAAACACTATAATTTTTCAATATGAAGCTTTGAAAAATGCAACGTTTAGCACTCAAAACGTCAAAGTACAATCAGAGCCAAAAGATGGGACAGATTTAACACCTCAATCCATCACTACTCCAATTTCACTTGTCCTAAATCGATGCACAGAGATTGGGTCATTCTTGGTGTATACAAAATGTGTACGTAAATTGTTCATTGTCTGTGTACACATGCCATTAGGGGAGTTTTGGCATCAAATCTTTCCCTTTTCAAACGAATTCCATGTACAAACGGTCAACTAGAGGAGTCATGTGTAAACTTTGTGTACAACTCATGTAAAATAAGAATCTTTCCACGGAGGTTATCGCCGTCTTGGGCGGCGGCGTTCTGGAAATACCAGCTTAGATGTAGGCCGGAATTCATCGCCATAGCCTACATCGGAGTCGACTACCTCCGGATTAGATGCTTGGAATTGAATTAGCCGATGTTGGGGATCATCCTGCCAAGCGGCGCCAAGCATAATCTGCTTCTCCTTCTACAAGTATCGTCCAATGGTGCTTTGCTTTATGCTTCTATTCATTGTGTCTATTGTCCTCTTGGTATATTCCCTTCTCATTGAAGGCAGTGGTGAGGAGCGTCCAACATATGTGAATGTAGGGGATTGCAAAGGAGAATGTAGGGGGGTAATGGGCTAGGCAATAAATGATGGAAAATAGGAGTTTTAGGTGAAAACATCATACTACGGTAATGAATAGATGGAACTTGTGCAAGATACGAAGTAATAGGTTTGCTATTGATAATAGGTCATTGGGAAAAAAAAAATCCATTGCATTCTTATACTTTAATTTGCTACCATACTACGTGGGTAAAATTGTTTTTATAAACAATAGCTAAAACATATTAAGGTCTGCATAAGTCTTTTAACACTCGAATAACTGTTTTTTACTTTTTCCAAGGCCAAATTACCAAAGAATTACTAATAATAAGCTAACATAATCCATCAAAACAATTAATCTAATCAGCTATTGCCAAAAGGCAACCATAACTAACTAACCACTAACAGTCGATTGCCAAACAATGTTTTAACCTTTTTATAGATTGTGGGGAAATTAAGATTATCTGGTATTAATATAATGTAAAGTATGATCATATTTAAGCAATAAGGCATCCTCGTGAACTTATTACATGGATTGTGTATATGGACAGTTTTAAGACTCCAAAGCCAGTGAACCGTAGTGGGCTATGCATAGTTGCGTGGTCTGAATCTCCTTATGTAACCTTTGTGAGTATGAGGGAGAAAGTTATTTTACAGAAGAGAAAGAGGGATGGGTGGACATGAGAATACTGCAAAAAAAAAAATGGAAATACCACCCCTAAAAACTACTCCCTACGTCTCGTTAAGATTGTATCTTCTTTCCTTTTCGATCTGTCGCATTAAAATTGTCTCATACGAAATTTGGTAAAGTTTATGTCAATCTAAATCATTATTACTTTATCAATTCAATATCAATTACAAAAAATCACTTTTTGTTAATAATTGTGTCATTTCCTCATGTCCTAATGTTAAGGACGGATGTAATATGTTTCTTGGTTGTATCAATTTGGAAAGAAGTTTTAGAATAAGGAGTTGGTGGTTTCGGTTTATTTTTCAGTCCCTCTTTGCACACAACATTCTATTTTTGTTTGATTGGGTGGGAATCTACAATAATGTAGAATGTGGTATTTGATGAACTTGAAGACCAATATCATTGCCTCTCCTAGAAGACTCATACAACACTTTACACGTAACGTTTATAACTAATGACAAAACCTTTTAATCTGCACATGTAAGAAAGTTCATGTTGACGGGCTAATGGTTGCTTGCAGGGACGGATCCAGAATTTTGGGTCAAGGGGGGCGAAATTTTTCGTTAGTGTAGGGGGTGAAATTTTTTTTCGTTAGTTTAGTGGGACGAAATTTTTTCCCCTAGTGTAGCGGGGAAAAATTTTTCACTACTGTAGGATTATGCGGCTATTTTTATTAAAAAAATGACATTAATATATATATATCCCCCAACGACATATAAATTTATTACATTCTAAATTTAGACAATGACAAAGACATCAACCAACACATATTTAATAACTTCTATATTCTTTAATCTTATGAATCGGTTATTGAATTGTAATTTTTGTCCATCAAGGAGGGTGTTCGTGAGTCATGACTCATGAGAAGTTTTCTTAATATTACAATAGTAGTATGTATGAGATTATTATTTTTAGAATAATATGCACCACATACACACACTATATGGTGCATATTATATTTTAATATTTGTATTAATGCTATAATAATTTAAATTTTATTATCTATGCAATAAATTATTTTTAGAAAGCAAGAAGTAAATGAATTATGTAATTTAATGTCAATAAATATTTATATTTTGGATTCATTTCACGTGATCTAAAAACTGTGTAATTAGTGTGTCTGATATTTAATATTGTTTGATATATATTTTACAAAATTGAGTACTTGTTATCTAATAAAGATAATTACACATTACAAAACTAGGAATTCTTATATAATAAGTATCCTAAATCTTAAACAACGAGTTATGTAAATTATATTAGATGTTCTTTCTTTTAAATATCCAATTAAGTATTACATTATGTAAGACTATATATTAATTTTGAAAATTAAAATCTAAGGGGGGCGAATCTAATTAAATTATGAAAGTTTTATGAAAATATTATATATATGGTAGAAATTTTTCAAAGTCCAAGGGGGGCGGTCGCCCCCCCCCCCCCTAAATCCATCCCTGGTTGCTTGATATCCCCCGATGTACCCATACATCATTGAATTGATAATTATTATTTTAACATTTAGTTTGGTTGTGGATGGTAGTATGATCAAATCAATAGCTTGCTTACACATTTTATGTTTAAATTAGATTTTTGTTTAAGTTAGATCTTTTTATACTAAAATATATACACTACAACAAAACTATATCGTTGCGCGGAGCCTTCCGCCAGCGTTTACGGAAACCATATCGACAACCGGAGACTAGCGAACTGGCGAGGAGGTGATTGTCCGTCCGTCCGAGTGGTGAAGTGTCCGACCTGTCAACTGAATCTCTGATTTCATTCTCCTGAATCTCTGATTTCTCCAATTCTCTTGAGTTATAACTTATAAATAATGAAATATATGAACCTAATTGTCTAAAGTTCTACTCTGAAGATAAAGCCATAAAGGCATAATTTTGTAAAGGGTTAAAGCCTAATGGCCTGTTTGTTTGGGGGTTAAGCTAGGTTATTGAAGGTTCAATTTTTAGTTCACCCCGTTTGTTTGTATTTTTGCAATAAGAACCTAGGTTATGTGTTAACCTCGCTTAACTCCCGAGAACCTAAAAGAACCTTAAATTGAACAACCTCTGAATTGGGGGGTTTTGGAGGTTAAGTTCTCGTTTAACATAAAATGAGCTAGAGTACCTTCATCCAAACAACATTTATTACATTAACCTAGGTTCACCTTCTATATTTCCAAACACTATTTTACGCATGGACCTAGGTTCACTTAGGTTAACCCAATTTTTATTAAAACTTAGGTTAACTTTATTGCACTAGGTTTACTTAACTTCACTCTATCCAAACAAAACATAAATGTTAAGAATAATACTGTGCAGCACTATGACAGATTGGGAGTACTAGACAACTGGCCAAGCAAACAAGTATTAAAAGCAATCTTTTTACTATTTGAAGTATTTTTTACTTCAAAAGGCCAGAAGAATAAGTTAATAGGGTAGTGTTAGTACAAGTTTATGGTGTATTTTACATATGTTTGCATCATTGCATTTAAAAACATATTCTTATGAATATTAAAAATATTATATGGTACATTTTGAATATATTTTTATATGGTGTCTTTTACTCAATTTTTCTCTTTTCAATATGATTTCTTCGTAAATACATAGTATCTTTTTATCTAAGGCCTTTGAAATGCTAAAGACACATCGTCCTGCTCGCTAGTTTAGGGTGTTTTTACTTGGACTGTAATTTGTCTCATACTAAAACAGATCAGACCTGACTTGATTAGTTATAAAAATAAAAAAGAAACCAGACCAAACCAGTTCAGATCGAATCAGAGCAAATCAGACCAGACCAGCAAATTACCGTCCAAATAAAAAATCCTTAGTTGTTGAAGGAGATAAACGGTAGGCCTGATTTTTTACTCACGCTAGGCTGTAGTTTTAATTTAGATGACTGGGCCATTAATATATTTTAGTTGGGCCGGGTATCAATAATAACAAGCATGTAGTACAGTGGACTTTTTATACTCGAGGCTAATAGCCTAATAAATAACATTGGCTAGGCTTCCGAATTTAGTAGAGCCCGTTTGGTAAAATTAAAATCGATTTAATTGGTTGATTCTGTTGAAATTTATTAACTAATGGCTGTATTGGCTGATTTTCTCCTGATTTATGAAAAAAATTATTTGAAATATACTTTATTAATAAAATAAAGAAAAAATTATATGAACAATAGCTAAAAATGGTCATCTGCATTAAATTCAGTCAATGCAGTCAGAACAGTAACTTCAACCTTACTTTTCCTTATTATTACTCAATTCAGCGCGCGAAATCAAAAGTTACGTGTTTGGTCAAAAAATTGGCTGATAAGCCGAAAAATA